ATGGTAAATGGTCTTACTCTGTGGTTCTTTTCTATGCTTTGAAAGGCAGACTTGCATGGCCAAGTGCAAGTCTGCTTATACTGTATAAATGACAGACAAAGCATCCTGTTCACTTGAAGGTTGTAAAGCACTTGGAAGTAGAGTACTAAATTGTGGCTAAGAGATTTTTACTGACAGCAGGTAGTTATATACAATCGCAGAGAGAGTGACAAGCACCTGTCTTTGAAGCTGCTGATGGTACCAACTAAAACTTACGGAATGAGGCAAGTGATTTGTTACAGAAGTTAATAGATTTTGAGGGACTGGAGCTGGAACTGAACACTACTGGAAATTCTGAAATTCATTATCATGAACCGGATGAAGATTTTGACCCTGAAATAAATTTTTTTAAGAACCCTGAAAATAACTGCAAGTATTACACAGATGAGCAATTTAACAGCAATGTCAAGACTGAAAACAAGCTATCATTAATTCACTTTAATAGCAGAAGTTTATATGCAAACTTTCAGAGTATAAAACATTATCTTAGTAGTCTAAAACGTTCTTTTAATATAATTGCTATTTCTGAGACTTGGATCAACACTGTAAGACAACTGTAGTTGTCACCAATGCCTTGGCGATGCTGTGGCATATTTGTGTATTTTGCACATTTTAACAGTCAGATTATCTTAAAATCGTGTTGATATTCATGCTCCTCAGAGTCACCAAACTTGGTTAAACTTGGTTCTATAATAGCTTTTTGTCTCATGCCAGCATTCAGCTTACTTCGCTGTACTGTGCCATAAATAAGCATTTTTAGTGAGTAGACTGCCACAAAATGTACTGATACTGTCCAGGGAATTAACCCTTTACAATGTTAATACTCCACAAGTCTTCTTCTAGTGACTTTCAACTTCTGTCACCATTTCCACACCAAAATTTGAACTCACACAAAATTTCCACGTTTACATGATTCTTACTAAATACTTTTTGCTCTGTGAAAGATCACTGTGTAACAATCACTATTTGCACGTTGTTTACATTCTAATTGCCAGATTCTCTGTTCTTGCCTTATCACAGACTCTATTGCAGTCTATTGCTCCTCTCCTCATGCCTCATCTGACCAGTTGTCCTGCCAGTAGTGTTCATAAGAGCCTTAGCTGTTGTGAGGCATTCTGTCCATTTTTGTCATTGGATAAACTTCCCTTTGGTAGCATCACTAGGCTAAATGACCAGTGCTGTACACGTGACCACGTGACATTAAATGCAAGACTGCCAAGAGTATGCTGGGTCCCTAGATCATGAAGGCCCTTGATTTTTTAAAATCCTGTCTTCCTGTGTATGTGAGGCTGCGTCTACAGACGTGGAAGAATTCACTGACACTGTGACTTCATACACCAGCTATTATGAGGACATGTGTGTGTGCCCACCAAGACTCTCAGTACGATTCAAGCACCTTCATCATGCCAAACAGGAGGCCTACAGAAGTGAGCAAGGATCCTGTACAGTTACCCAGGAACGCTGACTTTCCATCTCTGTGCTTAAGGTGCAAAACCAGAATGGTGGGCCATTTTCATTCAGGCTCTGGCCCACCTTGGGAGGTGTATAAAAATTCCCCGCTCCCCCCCACTTTGGAGCGGTCTTATTCCTTCCTTCAAACTCGGGTCCTCTACCAGAGGCCTGGGAGCTTGAGGGTCCTGCGCAGTATCTTAGCTGTTCCTAGGACTGCACTCTTCTGGACAGAGATCTCAGATGTTGTTTCTGGGATCTGTTGGAGCCACTCTACCAGTTTGGGGGTCACAGCCCCCAATGTTCCTATTACCACGGGGACCACTGGTGCCTTCACCCTCCACATCTTTTCTAGCTCTTCTTTCAGCCCTTGGTATTTCTCGAGCTTCTCGTGCTCCTTCTTCCTGATGTGCTCAGTGCTCCAACACCCGCAAGAAGCACCTGCTATCACAACAGAGATTGATGAAGTACAATATGAATGCTACAGCAAGGGGGAGCCAGGATGCCAGGTCAGGGGGGATGATATCAGGGGGGAGATATCATCATCATCACCCCCACAATTGGAGATTGGGTACCAAGCCCCAATAACAGGCCTGGATGAGCTTGATTCAAGAGCAGCTGACCTGAGATTGAAGATCATGAGCAAGATGGACACCTGGAACTCCCGTGGCTGGTTACCAAGACTAAGTGAAGTGCCTTCTGAAAGTCTACTAGAGGATGTGAATGCAGCACTAAGAACAATCCCTACTACATCACTGAGATCAACAAGCTCATATACACCACAGCAACCGTAATCCTTGAGATGCTTGGCTATAAGTTCAATAAAGGCCATAAGGAGCAGTATCCTCCACGGAGAAGGAGGTTGGAGACCAAGATCAAGGCTGCAAGGAGAGAAGTTAGCCAGCTATCAGAATTGCAGGAAGGCGTGATGAAGAAAAGGGTACCTAAGAAGTACAACTCACTGTCCATACCTGAGGCCTTAAAGACTGCCAAGCAAAGGTTCACAGACCTGGCCACCCAGCTGAAGACATTGGAATGTCATTCGGACTGGATAAGTGTGGTTGAATGGTAACAAGGAGAGGGAAGGTAGTCAGAACTGAGGGGATTGTACTACCAGATGGCAACATAGCAGATGTTGAGGACAGCTACAAGTACCTTGGGATCCCGCAGGTAAATGGGAACCATAAAGAGGCCGCAAGGAAAGCAGCAACCACCAAGTACCTGCAGAGAGTAAGGCAAGTCCTGAGAAGTCAGCTGAATGGAAAAAACAAAGTCTGGGCAAATAACACCTACGCCCTGCCAGTCATCAGGTACCCCACTGGCATAATAAGCTGGCCAAAGGAGGAGATAGAGGCCACTGACATCAAAGCAAGGACGATCCTTACAATGCACGGCGGGTTTCACCCCAAGTCCAGCATCCTGAGACTGTACACTAAGCCGAAGGATAGGAGGCTTAGGAGGATGAAACAACAAAGATCAATGAATATATCAGGAAGATGGCCCCGAGTGATGATGTGCTTAGTGAATACCTCAGGCAGCAGAAA